ATCAGCGCTTCCAGGAGCCAGACAAGGCAGGCTGGCTGCCAGTAAATGAAGTGCGTTAAGTATGTGTAACATGTGTAATGGCATGCTACACATAACGTAAGAAGGAAAGATAACCGGATACACAAAAATTAATATTTATCCTCATTTCAGGCATGCATAGATCAATGTCCCACAGAACTGGCCAGGCTGGCTGGGGCCCTGTGCAACCTATCTAGTACTTGATCCAGTGGTTGACAATGCTGCCTTGGGTAGAGGTGTTGGAACCTGCCAACCCTTGAGATCCTTTCCAACATAAGCCACTCTATGATTCTATCTAGGAAAGCATCTGTCCTGCGTTTCAAGCCACGGAAAATTATGTGATTTTTGTTTCATGTTGTCCCTAATCTTCTCCTTTTCCCTGCTGGTCAAAATCTATTTCTCAAGAGATCTGAATGCTAAGCAATTGTATTAACCCAGCAGGATTTTCTTCCAAAAATAAATCAGTGTACAATTTTTCACCACAGAATGATAATACTTCAGAAATATACACGCATCTGTTAGAGCAGAGCAACAGGTTCATCATTTTGTCTCGCAAGCAGTTTTAGCAGCCACCATACATCAGGTTGCTAGGCCAGAGAAGCAATGGCATGTCACATACTATTTCAGACTTTCAGTAAAAAAAAACAACAACAACATACAGATAGAAGTCTGGAAGCGACAAAAAAAAGTTACTTAGATCAGTAGCCTACTCTTAGAATTGGTCACAACAGTACATTTTCAAAGCTTACTTGCAGAGCTTCCCTTTTTCAGAGCTGCTGCTAAGTTGAAGGAGGAACATTGTTCTTAACTGTCTGACCAAACACATCTCATTAGACAAATGCTCTACAAGTCCACATCTAAAGTCCATTAATATACTACTCAGACTGATGTGGGACAAACACGAACTTCCCTACACCAAGAATTCTAGAAGACATGTGATATTCTATCATAATTATCATCATCCAGAACTCAACTGCAGAAGTTTATTAAGGAAGTTGCTTTTTAAGTGTTCTTTTACAACAGCACGGTATGGATGTAGAGTACTTTGGAAGTTAAGCACTACCACCACCATGAAGCATCCCCCAGCTTCATTGACAAGTAGAAGTTGCAGCGCTTTCTGCCTGTGACATCACCCTCCCTCTCTCAACAACGAAGTTGTTTACTTACAGCTAGATATGACACACTAATGTGTAGGCACGCCTAGATGTGCATAATCAGGCAGCCAGTCTCAACAGCTCTGAAAAGTTTATTAACATCACACAATTAGGTGATGTATTCTCACTAGAATGTAGCGCATGTTTATATTTTCCAAGGCAGAACACCCAAGCAGTACATATTCCATAGCTGGAGAAAACAAAGTGGAATGAGGGTTTATTTTCAGCTGAAGCAATTGCTGCCCTACAAAAACGATTGGTCTTCAATGAGAAAGAACAGTATTTCTTGTAAACCCTTTTAAGGGCATCCTTTCAAGGATATCCTTTAGCCACAATTCTGTTTTCCATTTCAGATCTGTTCTTCACCCTCTTCTCCCTCAGCTTTCAGGGTCCTCTTCTCAGCTAACTTAATCTTTTTCCCAGATCAGACATTGACTGTCAGATCTTATAAGTTTTTGAACATGTCCTTCAAGAACCACATTTCTTGTTGCCCCTTTTGGACAGATGGAGCATGCTAATAGTCATCTTACCTATGGAGCGAGATGAGGGTTCCCAAAGTACCTGCTTTCTCTGCACAAGGGAGCTCAGCTCTATTGAAATAGAACAGTTTTCAGGAAATGGGAAGCTTAAATACTAACCAGTTGAATATAACCCATCAAATCGCTTCTGGGCCTGGATGGTAAGCACAAAGGGTGTAGGTAGAAGGACTTGATTCCTGCAGAATCACAGGAATGCAAAGAACTATCGCTATTCTAATTCTATGGTAAACGAATGCCCTCTTGGTCCTCATCTGTTTCCTGCTCACTTTTCATAGACCCTCCCCAAGCAGAATTCAAGAATGAGTTCCCAGGCAGCAAACTACATGTAGCCCCTATCTGCAGCCTCACACACCCTATGTAAATGGCACACAACAGCTCTACAGAGAGAAACATTAATAAAGTTCTCTCATTTATAAAAGAATCCCCCCAAAAGGTAAAAACATCACCCCAAACTTGCAGTCTATGCAACATTATCCACCAACCCCAAAGCCACACACTAGCAGTTACAATTTAACTTGTCAGAAATACCATCAGCACAACTAGTTAGAACATGATTCCCTTTAATATCCTTGTTTGGTTGTTTTCTTGCAGGGAGGTGCCTGCCACCCTACCCAACCCCTCCCCAGCCATTAATAGCCACAGGCAGCCAGAGAGTTTCTGGATGTCCCACTGCAGACAAGTCCTACTGGCCAAACTGGTCACACAGACCTACAGAGATGTAGTCCCACAGAACTGCCTGCTGAATTCACACAGGGAAAAAAAGCAAACAAACAAAAAAACCCCAACAGCAAACAGTAGCTTTGCCTCACGAATTAATTATGATGCAAAAGTAGATATTGTTTTATTTGCAACCTGGAAGGAAGCCAGCATCAAAATCAAAGCTACAAGATATAGCTAAGGTCCTTTAGCAATTCCACATTGCAAAGCCATTTTCTGCCATATTAATAAACAAAACAACAAGAAGCACAAACAGATGTGATGGTGTCACCCAGTCTTAACATTCTGATGTTCTCACGTTTAAAAATACCTTTGACACAGTCCTGTTTGCTTGCTAGAGGGCAACTACCTTTCTCTCCAAACAACTGGAAAACTAAATTCAAGCTGTCTGCTCCAGACACAGGTTGGAGGCCAGTTGTGCAATGGACACAGCCATTATGCCTCCAACGTGAGGCTCAAAAGGAAGACAGTCATTCTCTATTGTTGTCTGGAAGCAGACAGCCACAGCCGACAGCCCTGCTCCTTATCTCACAGCCTGCATCTTCCGGTATCACCTCCCCCGTGTATTTCTTTACTTCCTTTCCAGTTTTTTTTGCCTCATACCTTATTCATTACTTTGTGAAGGAGAGAGGAAACCGCTTCATTACAGCCAGGAGAAGTCCTTTATAAATATCAGTTTAGGATTCTGAATACACAGAGGGCTTTGACTGCACCCTTCCCCTATCTCTGCACCCCAGGTGTTCTCTACAAAAACCTCTCGCTCACCCACATTTCTGCAACGGTCTTTATCCCCAGGGCCAACAGCGGACTGTCTGCTGCACGTCACTTCAGTAACAGCTGTGGAAACGCAACTGGGATTCCCGCACAGCTCCAAAACCCACCAGAGGGTACCGCCACGCACACGTGCATAGAAACAGAGCCATTCCTGACTTCTGACGTGAGGGTGGGGAACTCCCCCCCCTCCAACGCACCACCTCCCTTCTGCTCTTTTCGCACCAATATCGCTTTTAGAAAAGGCACACAGCCCGCTCCGTACAACCGCTAGCACAAGAGGAGCTTCGAGGCGCAGCCACGAGTCGGGCCGCAGGCAGAGAACGAAGCCTCCTCCTACCCCCCAGCCCGGCACCGACCCCTGCAACACACGCTCCGCGCCCTCTAAACCCCACGGAGGAACCCCGGGGCACTCGGCCCCGGACACAGCGCCGGGAGGAGCACACGGCGACACGAGCGGGGGGGCCGCCGACACGCCACCAGCCTCGGCCCCCGCTTACCGCGGCCCCCCGCCCGCCACGTGCCGGCCGCGCCGTCGGGGCGGGGCTCGCCGCGCTCCCCGGCCCCGGCGCAAAGTGCTGATTCAGCCCCCACCCCCCGCCCCGGGCCGTGGCGCCGCTACCTGAGGCAGTGTACCAGCTGCCGGCGTGGCTGGCCTCCCGGCAGAGCACCCGGTTGGACATCTTGGTGCCGGAGCCGCCTATGGTGTTCGGGGGAGCCGGTGGGGGACGGGCCCGGCCGCGGCGGCGGCGCTGCTCCCCCTCCTCCCCCGGCGCGGCCCGGGCCCGGCGGGCGGAGGCGGCGCTGCCGGCGGCGCCTCCGGGCGGGCGGACGGG